TAGGAGTAAGAGAACAATAAAATCATTTAATAATTTTTGAATCGGCAAAAACATAATGTGAAAAAACAAGCAAACACTTCTAGCCAGCTTAGTTCATTAGCAATTCTTACATGTCTTTATTCCTGACAAAGAAACACAAGCAAGTGAATATTATAAAGGATGAAATATACCATTTTTTTATTTTTTTAAGATTTTACTTATTTGAGATAGAGAGAGAGTGAGAGAGAGCACAAGAAGGGGGTGGTGCAGAGGGAGAGGGAGAAGCAGGATCCCCACTGAGCAGGGAGACAGACAGGGAGCTCCATCGCAGGACCAAAGGCAGATGCTTAACTGACAGAACCACTCAGGTGCCCCTGAAATGCACCATTTTAATCATAGCTTTCCATGTATTTCTTTAGTAGGTTTTGGTTACATCTAAATGCTTCTAAATAGAAACAACAGAACTCATTAGATTTTTTTTTAAGGATTTTATTTATTTATTTGACAGAGAGAGAGAGATAGCAAGAGAGGGAACACAAGCAGGGAGAGGGTCAGAGGGAGAAGCAGGCTTCCCGCTGAGCAGGGAGCCCGATGCGGGGCTCGATCCCAGGACCCCAGGATCATGACCTGAGCTGAAGGCAGTCGCTTAACCAACTGAGCCACCCAGGCGCCCCCTCATTAGATTTTTGCCTGAGTATGTGCAAGAAGATATCTTTTTTTTTTTTTTTTATTCCATGGAGAGAAAGAAAGGAATGAAATAAAAAAATGCAAAGAGAAGCAGGGGAAAAGGCATCTGTGTGGTCTGATAGAATAACGTGATACACAGGCCTGTACAGAGATCCCCATGGACTTGAGAAAGTGCTGGAACTCCTGAAAAGAGCTTAGTCTAAGTAAAATAAAGACATTCCCAAATAAGGAGGCCATAGAGTAGGGTCCCAAAGTATATTTGTTGAGCTTAATTAAATAGCTTATGGTATATTTGAATATCTGGTTCATTTTTTTTTTTTTAAGGCACAGTTAGAGAACTCTGTAGCTGCTGCTCTCCTTTCCCAAAGCTGCTGCCATGGAAACTACCACTTCACTACTAAGCAAGGATGACTGTTTTAGTCTCATGTACTTAGTGAAATCTTTTGACCATTTTCAACATGGTGGCTTTTCTTTCCTTAAGATTAAAGCCAAACCCTGATGCAAGAAGTCCTGTGATGAAAACCAAATGTTCATCAGCTACCCAGAATCAACGTTGAATTCTTCTGAGCAAAGGGGAAAGAATTTAAAACTAAGGATTGAAGAATTTTGCTAGACCAACCCGTTATGGTTGTTTATTTGTGTGTGGGTGCTCTGCCTGGTTGAAGGGAGGATTTCCTCTAGCTGCAAGTTGGAATTTTCTAGCAGTAGGCTGGAAAGAATGATGATAGGGAAGGTAATCTACATTTTTCTTGGTACTTACTTTCCAAAAGAAACTTTTCAGTGAAGGCTTTCTAGTTTCTCCACTTATTCCTTAAGAAACCTTAATTCAGGTCTTAGAACCTTTTGTTAAATGGAGATGAAAATACTCAACCTTTCAGTGTAGCTATGAAGATCAAGTAAAATAGTGTTTTTAGACTAATGCAATCATCACGATAATAACACTAAGAATAACTGGTATGGGCCAAATTGTATTCCTCTCAAAATTCATATTTTGAAGGCCTAATCCCCACTGCTTTAGAGTGTCTGTATTTGGAGATAGGGATGGGGTAACTGGGTGATGGGCATTAAGGAGGGTATGTGATGTGATGAGCGCTGGGTGTTATACGCTTCTAATGAATCATTGAACACTACATCAAAAACTAATGATGTACTGTATGCTGGCTAATTGAAGTTAAAGAAATAAAATAAAATAAAATAAAATAAAATAAAATAAAAGAATCTTTGTATATTCAGTGAACACAGGGAAAAAAAAGAGATAGGGCCTTTAAAGAGGTGATTAAGTTGGGAAATGAGGCCATTAGGGTGGGCCCTAATTCTACCTGATTAGAGTCCTTATAAAAAGAGGAAATTTGGACTCAGTAGAGAAGCACCAAGCATGCTCCAGCACAGAGGAAACACCGTGTGAGGAAGCTGAGAGAAGACAGCCACTGCAAACCAGAGACGCCTCAGAAACAATCAAACACACTGACCCCTTTATCTTGGTCATTCCGTCTCCACAACAGTGAGAAGATACATGTCTGTGGTTTAAGGCACCCAGTCTGTGGTATTTTGTTATGGCAGCCCTAGCCAGTTAATACAATAACTAACACAGATTGAGAACTTACTATGGTTTTTATCATTAGTAATATTTCTTGGGAGAATTGCTGAATTAATCTGGAGAACGGATGAGGAGGAGGAAGAGAGCATACTTCCACCTTTGCCTTTAACTTCCCAGAAGACTAGCTGCAGCTTAGGCAATTTATTGTATCAGTATTTTTATTGCTAGAACAAAGAGAAACCATCTCTGACAGTAACTGACAGGGCCTTTCACAGTTTGTTATGTTACTTAGTTCTGAATGGAATTGATTTAATTATCAAATAAAATCTGCATATTTTATTAAAGTTGTATTCACCATTCTCCCTGTGGAAATGTAAATACACAAGGGTAGTTCAGGTTTTTCTTTTCCTTTAAATATTGTGATATTTTGAGTACGGGATGAGTGAAAATGAGCATCCATTCCATAGGATATATTTGTTTACTGTGTTCTTACAAGGCATCCTTTATATTGGCCCACCTTGGAAGGTTTACTCTCTTTCCTGCCTGTTTAAGTATAGGTATAGTCAGTTTTACTTCCTCTCATTTTAATATAAATTTCTCTGTAGTAATGAATATAGATATGTTTATTCTTCCCTTCTTGACAATCAGAAAGAAGTCTGAATCCCAATTTAAAATGCAAATTTAGTCAAAAATTGGGGGAACCCACTAAATAAATGGGCAATGATATTATGGTGTTCTAAGAATGCCATTAAAATTTCCATTGGTTGGGGTGCCTAGGTGGCTCGGTGGGTTAAGTGGCTGCCTTTGGCTCAGGTCATGATCCCAGGGTCCTGGGATCTAGCTCCAAGTCAGTCTCTCTGCTCATTAGGGAGCCTGCTTCTCCCTTTCCCTCTACCACTCCTCCTGCTTGTGCTCTCTCTCTCTCTGTGTCAAAAAAATAAATAAAATGTTTAAAAAAAATAAAATTTCTATTGGTTAAGATGTATGTGTATATATATTACATATGCATATATATGTATATCAATTATATATTAGAGATAAGCTATACTGTATGTTTATCTATTATCTATTTTCTATTGTATCCATTTTAACATAGGACATAGATATAGATTAGGTAATGATTAACCCCAAGAAAATTAATTAAAATGAGAATTCCTTCAATGAGGTCACACACATCTAAAGTTGTAGGTACCAACCTACATGTTGTTTTCAGTGTTGATCTTTTCCTTTAAAGACCAAGTAACATTACCATTTACTTTTTAGGCTGTTTTTTGACTAATATCTTGGCTCACTTACCTAAAAGAGAAAAGAGCAAGAATTGAGAAGACCCATTCAAAGGCACATTGACTACAAACTGTGGTAATCCTAGAGTTCCTTAAAAAATCAACTATGCAAGGTTTAGTTATACAAGTTATTAATGCCTAGAGACATCTTAAATTTGCAGTACGTGTACACTAGTTTATCTGAACTTTAATTGAATAAGGCATACTTTGTAACCAGCTTGTTTGGGTTGCTGTTAGTTTCTTCATGACCCTTCTAGTTTTTTTCCATGGTCTATTAGTTTTTTTTATGTTTGTTAAAACACATGTTTAATCTCAAAATTACATCATTTAAATCAAGGAACAGACATCTTTCATAGAATATTCTAGTACTACTAAAATTGTGGTAATTTTGTGTTGTCTTTGCTGTGTACTTTAAAATAAATTTTGAAAGGCCCTTAAATTCATTTTTTCCCTCTACCCCTGCATATTTACTATTTTAAAATCAGCTACTGTTGCTTATATACCTGGGTAGGAGAGTAATTTTTGTGTGCATTTAAATATTTTTGGTTTGGGATTGGAATAAACTACTTGGAAATACAAATCAGTATGAACAAATATTTTAAGATCTCCTAGGTGCTTAATGCATAATAGAATTGTAGTAGTGTTTGCTGGATGAATAAATGAACAATGATTTTAAATGTAGCTATCATACTTTAGACAAATCCCAATTTTTAGTTTATCACTTTTCAAGGATCATATATGGGGCCTACCACTTTTATACATGTTTTGGATGGCAGATTCTTTTTTTTTTTTTCCCCAATTAATAGCTCATTTGTAATATAATGAAAGTTGTAGTTTGTTGAGAACAAAAATTTTAAAGATTCATTTATTTATTTGAGAGAGAGAGAGAAAGCACAGTGAGGGGGGCAGTAGAGGGAGGTGGAGAGAGTCTTAAGCAGACTTCATGCTGAGCATCGAGCCTGACACAGGGCTTGATCACCCTGAGATCACCACCAGAGCCGAAGCCAAGAGTCCAAGGCTTAACTGACTGTGCCACCCAGGCACCCCAAGAAAAAGTTTTGATAACTACTCAAAAGTAGTTGAGTCACACACTGTGACTTTTATCCACATTCCATGTGAAAACAGATCAGCTTCACTGCTACTGAAAATATCTGCCTTGAGGACCTAAGAACACCAGATCAGCCATTCTTGATCTGTTCATTCTGAGTCTGACCTTTAGCTAATGACAGTGGTTGTGGTGGTCAAACAGAAGGGTGTGGTTTTTCTTTCTCAACCCCATCCTCAAAAGTGGAAAACTTGCTTCAGATTCCTTCCTTTCTCCCTCTCTTCCTTCCTCTCTTTCTTTTTCTTCTAGATAGTGTATACTGGTATCATTTTATAGATCCATCATTGTTATAAATATATACACAAAAACACCTCTTTATAAGAAATACTCCATATTGATATATTGAAAGCTTTCTGATACAAACAATTGTGTCTTATTAAGGTTTGTCCCCTACATGTATCTATTACAGGGTTCAGAATCAATAGCAGATACTAAATGTCTGTTGAATGAATGACTGGCCTGAATATCCTTCTGAGATGAAGTGTTCCATTATTAGCTGTATGAGGTAATGCTTTCAAGTTTTAAAGCATAATTCCTTAACCCAGTATTCTAGAATTAGTGAACATACCTTATAAGTACTATTTATGTGTTTTTAGGAAATCCATAAATGTCTGAATACACCTGGAATTGATCATATTACATTTCTTCCATTAAGAGGAATGGGCAAAGACTGAGTTAGTTGCAGAAAAATAGAGTTGCTATTTGTAGACCTTAATTTGCAGTTTGAGAGATGTATATCCTAAGGATAAAATGTGGTATCTGCATTTTATGAACATGTTAAATACTTGAAACAATGATTTGCATGTATATGTGACAGTTCCTAGGGCTAGTTGATATGTGGTTAAATAATGAGAAGAATGGTGCAGACAGTAGTAAGTGTCCTAGGAGCTCAAACACTATGGTTTGGAGAGTTGAGAAAAATTTCACCAAAGGAAGTGGGACCTGAGAAAAGTTGTGAAAAATGCTTGGAAGCTATTATTAAGTTATTGTTGTCTATTTGCCTACTATTCAAGAATATAAATTCCTAAATCCTGTGTATTTGTGACTTCAGTGTCCACATAAATAAATCATCCAAAATGTTGCCTTTTTGGTTCTTTGGTCTTATCTTCAAATTTCTTCTTATTTCTCTTGGCCAGCCATTTTTACCCTGTTTTTTTTTCAGCCCCAGAAAATATAGCACTTCTGAAATGTTGGTTTTAAATATCTCATTTTCCTATAACCACCATTATTTTTCTAGCACATTTATTCAAGTATCTCTATTGCCACAATTCTTCAAATACATTAAGACTCTAGACTCTACTTACATATTTTTAGCAGTAAATATATGTCAATATGTCAAAATATCTTATTGACAAAATAAAATCAAATGTTTTCCATGTAGTTCATGGAATTGGTGAGAAGTGATATTCATCAATTTTTTTAGTGCATAGTCATCAAATGTTAGATACCACTCATTTTGCTGATGCCTCACCTCTAATAAATGAAAATTTAATTATATTAAGTTTTAAATTGCATAAATAACTTTTAACTGTTATTACAATTTTCTTAAAATTTGTATAATTAAAAAAAAAATCAGGGCACCTGGGTGGCTCAGTCGGTTAAGCATCTGCCTTCAGCTCAGGTCATGATCCCGGGGTCCTGGGATCAAACCCCCCATTGGGCTCCCCTGCTTCTCCTTCTCCCTCTGCCCTTCTTCACCCTCCCACTTGTGTTTTCTCTCCTGTGCTGTCTCTCTCTCTCTCAAATAAATAAATAAATTCTTTAAAAAAATAATCATAACTATGCTTAGGAAAAGAAAATAAGAACCTAGAAACCACTGTATAAGAACACAAAACAGCTATAATTCAAATCACTAAAATAATTTTAACACTGCATTTATTTCCTCATGGGCTACCCACTGCACTCAAATGTAATGTGTATGTGAAAATAAATTATATAATTTATACAAAATACAAAATATGATAAATGGATTATTGTTGCTATTACTAAGGTTAAGGAGAAATGCAAACTTATCTAAATTAAAATAAAAGTTGGAGAATTTGGCATATTAAATATATAAATCATATTTACTGGCATGTTTGTGTGTGCACACATGCATGTGTGGGGGGGTTGTGTTTGTGTACTGTATTAATTAATTATTTTTTAGAGAGAGAGACAGTGTGAGCACGAGTAGGGTCAAAGGGAGAGGGAGAGAGAGAATCTTAAGCAGACTCAATGCTAAGCTGGATTCAGGGCTGGATCTTAGGACCCTGAGATCATGACCTGAGCCAAAATCAAGAGTCAGACATTTAACCAACTTGCCACCCAGGTGCCCTTTCTTTGCATCTTTAACGTACTTTTCTTAGGTGATCTCCTCATTTGGCATAGGTATAAATTCAGTAATTATTCTGATGACTCTCAAATGTTTATATTTATCTCTGAGCTTTTGACTTGTATTTCAAACTCCTTATCTGACACCACAATTAGATCCTTCATATATATCTCAAACATACCTATTTAAAAAGCAGAAACTCATGCTTTTCCACCCTAATCTCCTCTTTAAACTCTTCTCTTTGCCACCTTAGCAAATGGCATCAAAATCCATCTAGTTGTTTCTTCTGAAAGCCAAAGAGTAATAACTTTCTTTCTTTTCCACACTGTACCCAATCTTTCAGTAAATTCTAGTGACTACCTCACATTATTCTCCAAATCTGTTTACTCTCCATCTCCACTTGTTTTTAAATCTCAGTTCAGTTTACTATCCTTTCTTGCCTAGAAAATAGCTTAATAATTTTTTTCTTTATGTCTACTATTATTCCTTTCATATCATTCCCCACAAAACAGCAAATATGTTTTTATTTTTATTTTTTTAATAAAGATTTTATTTATTTATTTGACAGAGAGAGACAGCAAGAGAGGGAACACAAGCAGGGGAGCGGGAGAGGGAGAAGCAGGCTTCCTGTGGAGCAGGGGCCCTGAAGTGGGACTCGATCGGAGGCCTCTGGGATTATGACCTGAGCCGAAGGCAGACGCTAAGGACTGAGCCACCCAGGTGCCCCAGCAAATATGTTTTTAAACTAAATCTGATCATGCCATTCCTCTGCTTAAAACCCATCAATGTCTTCTAATTTTACTAAGAATATCAGGCAGACTTCTTCTCATGACCTACGGATCACACATGCTCTGGTCCCTGCCTCCTTCTTTAAATCCATTGCAGGCCCCTTCTGCAATAATTGTTCACCATGTTATTGATGCTCTTTCCTTTTAAAAGGTTAATGAGCCCATTAAGCTCTTTTCCAACCAGATTATTTGTAGTCATTGTTGCATCAGCATGAAAGTCTTCTTTTTGTAGGATTCAATGTTAAGGCCATTAAAGTTGCATTTTTGTCTTTCTCATTCATTGTTGATTTCCCAGCACCTAGAATGGTTCTTGTTACACATTAGGTGTTCCGCATGCATTGTTAAATTAGATACAGGATTACATTTCATCCCTAAGGTCTTAGCTACCATTTCCTTTCCTCAGATGGGCTTTTCCTAAGCACTGTTTCTAAGGTTACCACCCCCAAGATTAAATTGCACTTTATCCCTTATCATTTTAATGGTATTCCATACCATTTTAATTTCTTTCACAGCAGTTTTCACAATCTGCAATCATCTTGCTGATCTTTTTCTTTGTTTGATTATTGTCTATATTCTTTAGTAAAATACAAAATCAGTGAAGGCATCTTCTGGCTTGTTTACACTGAAACTTTAGTGCCCAACACACTATCTGTACACACTAGTCCTATACAATAATCCCCAGTAAATTTATGAAACAAAATTAACAAATAAATAAATGAACATAAAGGGCAATATGGAAAGATTTCTGAGGAAAAAATTAGGGAAGGTGAAGTGAAACTGATAAAGTTTAGCAAGTAAATATAAACAGTGTATTGTTTACCCCATTAAGATTATTTATAAAAATGCCAAAATACACAGGTTCTTATATTAACTCATCTGGAGAGTACAATTTCCCTTTAATTTTTTTCCCCTTGTTCTGAGCCAATTTCCTCTCCATGACAAAGTTCCTCTAACCCTTAGTCATTTTGGTAGAAATTTTTTCCAGTCTTTGATATGGAAATTTTCAATGGTTTTTGGAAATTTAAATAGCTTAGGTTAATCAGTTTTTTTCTCCATAAACCAGGAATGTATTTCCCCTCAGAATTTTATCAAAATGTTCCATTTTGGAACTTGACTCATATCTGTTCCTATGGTTTCTATGGTTGTCTACTTCTCTACAAAAAATATTACCTACCATGGTTTTGAGTCTTTAATGTAAGATATAATCCATTTTTCAAGAAGTGCACAAAATATGAATGTAAAGATCAATGATTATCTCCTTTCCATATCAAGAAATAGAAAATTACCAGCACTAAAAAAAAGAAAGAAAGAAAGAAAGAAAGAAAGAAAGAAAGAAAGAACAAGAAAGAAAATTACCAGCACTACAGAATGCCTACTCCCTTATGCACTCCCAAATTCTATCCTTTCCCTCCTCCACTATAGTTTGGTTTGAATTAAAATTTATAGAAATGGAATCATAAAATATATATTTTTTGTGTCTGTCTTGTTTCTCACAGCACTATGCCTCTAAGAATCACCCATGTTATGAGTAGCGGTATTTTATTCTTTGTCATTGCTGGTTTTTGTTACACTGGACAGAGGTATCACAATTTATCTCTTCCTTTCACTGTTGATGGAAATTGGATTTGTTTCCAATTTTTAGCTCTCATGAATAATGCTGAAAGTTCTTCTACATGCCTCTTGAGATACATGTGCAAGCATTTCTATTGGGAATATTTTAGTAATGGAACTGCTATCTTATAAGGAGTGTTTGTGTGCAGTTTTAGAAGATATTACTTAATAGATGACTAAATTCCTGGTATCAATTTAACATTAGCCAAAAGAATATGAGAATTAGTTGCTCCATGCCCTTGCCATCTCTTGTTACTAAAAGTCCTTTCGATTTTAGCCACTCTCGTGGGTATGCAGTAATGTCTTATTATGTTTTAATTTAATTTTCCTGATGATTAGTATGTTCCACAAATTTTCATAGATTTGTCATTTTAGTATAAGTCTCTTGCCCATTTTTCTTTTGAGTTGTGTGTTTTTTCCTTATTGATTTTGTATGTGTGTTTCATTTATCCTGCATATAAACCTCTTAGTTATATGTATAGTGAGTATATTTGATTTTTTTGACTTCTTTCTTGATGCCATCTTTTGATGAACACAATGTCTACATATTAAAGTAACGATTTATCATTTTCTCCCTTATTGTTAAAACTTTTTGTTTCCTGTTTAAGAAATTTTTACTCAACTCAAGATTGTGATTATATGATTTAAAAATCTTATCAAACTATACTGCTTTCCTTTTCACGTTTATATCTACACTCTATTTGGAATTGTTTTTGAGAGTGGTGTGAGGTAAGGGTTAAGATTCAATTTTTTCCCATATGGGTACCCAATTAAACCAGCACCGTTTATGGTTTCTTTCCTTTCCCCATTGTGTTATAGGGCCACTTTGGCATAAATCAAATGGGTATATTTGTGGTCTCTCTATTCTGTTAAATTGTTCTATTTTTCTATCCTCATGCCAATATAACATTAAGTTATTGCAGCTTTATAGTGTTTTGATTTCAGTAGAAAAACATCCCACCTTATTTTCCTTCAAGAGTGCTTTACCCATTTGGTTTTTTTTAATGTATATACTTTTTAGAGCAGTTTAGGTTTAGAACAAAATTGAGAGGAAAATACAGAGATTTCTCATATATCTCCCACCCTGACGCATGTATAGCCCCTCCCGTTATGTACATCACTCACTGGAATGATATTTTTTTTTTACTAAGAATGAACTTACAGTGACTCATTATAATCACCCCACGTCCGTAATTTACCTTGGGGTTCACTTTTGGTGTTGTACATTCTATGAGTTTGGACAAATGTGTACTGACATATGTTTGTCATGATAATATCACGCAGAATTTTTTCACTGTCTTAAAAATTTTCTATGCTCTGCCTAGTTATCTATTCCTCCCTTCTCCCACCCTGGGAATCACTGATTCTTTTATTATCTCCACAGTTTTGTTATTCCAGAATGTCACAGAGTTGAAATCATATAGTGTGTGACCTTCTCAGATTGGCTTTTTTCACTTAGTAATATGTATTTAAAATTCCTCCATGTCTTTTCATGGCTTGATAGCTCATTTATTTTTAGCACTGAATAATATTCTGTCATCTGGATATATCACAGTTTACCTACTGCAGGATAACCTTGGTTGCTTCCAAGTTTTGGCAATTATAACTTTTTAAAAAGATTTTGTTTATTTATTTTTGTGAGAGAGCGAGCACGAACAGGAGGGAGGGGCTGAGAGAGAAGCTGTCTCCCCGCTGAGCAGAGAGCCCAATGCCGGACACAGTCCCAGGATCCTGGGATCATGACCTGAACCAAAAGCAGATGCTTAATCGCTTAACTGACTGAGCCACCCAGGTGCCCAAGTTTTGGCAATTATAAATAAAGCTGCAATACACATCCATGTGCAGGTTTTTGTGTGGATATAAGTTTTGACTCCTTTGGGTAAGTAACAAGAAGAATGTATTTTCATTGCTTTATTGAGTGATGACTGAGATCCTAGGTTGGAAATAGGAGAAAAACAATTTAGCAAAGCAAATTTACCATTAAAGTTCAAAGAGATGCCTGTAATTATTTCATTTGTGCAGGCCATCCCTAGCCATGTTAAGTACTATGCACATATCTCTAATTCTTACTCTGAATTTGAATGTTTAGATTAAATCTAAAAACCAGTGGTATCTAAGTCTCTCTTTACCTTCGTCTACTTCAGTACAAAGATTAATTCTTCATTTTTACTCATACAATAAATAATTATTGACTGCTACCTATGACACAGACATTATTCTACATGATGGAGATATAGCAATAACCGAAACAAATTAAAATCCTTGCTTTCATGGAGTTTACATTCCAGGAGAAAGACATGTCAAGTTCATCAAGGACGTCTTTTTTTTTAAGCATTTTTAAAAAATTTTCTTATGTTAATCACCATACATTACATCATTAGTTTTTGATGTAGTGTTCCACGATTCATTGTTTTCATATAACACCCAGTGCTCCATTCAGTACATGCCCTCTTTAATACCCATCACCAGGCTGACACATCCTCCCACGCACCTGCCCTCTAAAACTCTCAGTTTGTTTCTCAGAGTCCATAGTCTCTCATGGTTCGTCTCCCCCTCCGATTCCCCCCCCCTTCATTTTTCCCTTCCTGCTATCTTCTTCTTCTTTTTTTTTTTTTTTTAACAGATAATGTACTATTTGCTTCAGAGGTACAGGTCTGTAATTCAACAGTCTTACACAATCAAGGATGTCTTTTTAGCAGAATGTTTTCCCTGGGAATCCTGTACCTTATAGACTGATGGGGCTACAGTGCCATGATACAGTGATAGAAAAGTTTATGATACAGTGGATTGGGCCCCTCCTTGAGTCCAGGGCCTGAGTTTGAGTCCCAGCCTTATTATTATAACTTGTGGGACCTGAGGAGTCTGTCCTGTGTGAGTCTCCATGTCTACCATAGGGATTAGCAAGACTAAATTCACAAGATTGTCAAAGGGAATTAAATTAGATGATAGACAAGAAAAAATAATTTACAAATTAAAAAATTATATATATGTATTTATAAATCAACTTAGGGAGATCAACTTCTTTATAATATTGACACTTGCAATAAAATCATAGCATTTCTTTTCATTTTGTATATATTTTAAAATTTCTGTCCATGAAGATTAATAATTTTCTGTGTGGGGGTATTGCACATAGTTTGTACATTTATTTTGAGTGATTGGAATTTTTTATGCTGTGCAAGTGGTATCTTTACATATTTTTTTAAATCATGTGATTGTTCATGTTTAAAAGTAAATACTACTATTTCCTCATGGCTAAAAAGCCTCTTTTTGAAAATATAATGGTAGGCAAGTTTGGAACTATGTAGAAAATAAAGGTAATGCTGCATATTTTGAAGTTAAATTTCACGCAGTTTTTTATGTTGTTTATGAATCATTCATTCATTCAAACTTTAATGACTACCTTTCATTTATCAGATACCATGAGAGTCAAGTGGGGACATAAACAATCCCAATACAATGTAATTATTCTGCACTAGAGGTATATATACAAAATACCTCTCTCTCTACATATATAGAGAGAGATCTTTATATCATTTGATATAGATATCAAGTATATATATATTTGTATGGAAATCATTTTAAAGTATACATGCATATAAATCACTCAAGGGAGAAACTAAAAAAAAAAAACATGCTTAGCTGTACATGATCCTATTTTTAAGATACAATCAATTTATCTACTATTTTCAAATTAACTAAAAAATACTTTAACTCCTTTTTGCATTAATGAGAAATTCTTCATTTATGCTGTCTTATTAAAGCTTGATTTCATTCTTACCTGGTAATTCTTGGAGATTTCTGCTCCTCAGAGTATCCCCTGCATTCACAGGGATTTTTGAATTTTTTTATTTTTTGCAAGAATTTTTGAGAGCTATCTTTTTACTTAGAGGTGAGAATCCTGAAGTATCTCTTTGAAGATACAAATTTTGTTTGTGTGGAAAAGGCGAGAGCAGGAAGAAGGAACCAAATTTAATCCTATTGTAGAAAGGCTACTGTTTAATCTTCCTCTCCTCTAAAAATAAATGCAAATCCCCACACTAGCAGTTATTTTTGCACTTTGACCTTGAATGCATCACATATTATCTGTCACTCATTAACATTCTTTGTCATCTTAGAACATTTTATAATAACATTTACGTTTGATCTACTTCTTCTAGTAAGGATTTTACTATTTTTTTTTTTTTAAGATTTTATTTATTTATTTGACAGAGAGAGACACAGCGAGAGAGGGAACACAAGCAGGGGGAGTGGGAGAGGGAGAAGCAGGCTCCCCGCAGAGCAGGGAGCCCGATGCGGGACTCGATCCCAGGACCCTGGGATCATGACCTGAGCCGAAGGCAGTCGCTTAACCAACTGAGCCACCCAGGCGCCCTTACTATGTTTTTATGGGGATTGTTTTTACTAGCATGTCAGACATTGTGTCTGGAAGCAGCACAGACATAGAATGCCTCAACCTTTTTTCACGGGCACAGAGGATGAAGGGCTAATCACCTCAATTCAGTCCAGAACTGACTTGGTTAGGGCTGTGTTGGAGTGTGAGGTATGGCTCAATTCACTTCTGGTTTCAAACATCTCCGAAGTAAGAATTCTGCTGTGCTCCTGTAGGCCTTTCTTGCTAGTGGGAATTTATTCTTTTTTTAAAATTGAAGTATAGCTGACACACAATATTACATTAGTTTCAGGTGTACAACATTGTGATTTGACAACTCTGTATGTTATGCTAGGCTCACACATGTGTAGCTACCATCTGTCACCATGCAATGCTATTATAATACCATTGATTATATTCCTTATGCTGTACCTTTCATTTCTGTGAGTTATTCATTTCATAAGCCTGCACCTTCCCTTGCCTTACACCCATTTTGCCCATCCCCCCCACCCAACTCCCCTCTGACAGTTAACCATTAGTTTGTTCTCTGTATTTATGGGTCTGTTTCTGCTTTTTAATTTTTTTTTTAATTTCACATGTAAGTGTAACCATACAGTATTTTTCTTTCTCTATCTGACTTATTTCACTTACACCTTCTGGGTCCATCCATGTTGTTGCAAATGGCAAGATCTCATTCCTTTTTATGGTTGTGTAACATTCCATTGTGTATAGGTATACACAAACACTACACACACATACCCCACATTTTCTTTATCCCTTATTCATCCATCTATCAATGGATACCTGGTTCACTTCCATATTTTAGCTATTGTAAATAATGCTGCAATAAGCATAGAGATGCAAATATCTTTTTGAGTTAAAGTTTTAGTTTTCTTTGGGTAAATACCCAGTAGTGGAATAACTGTATCATATGGTAATTCTATTTTTAATTTTTTGAGGAACCTCCATACTGTTTTCCACAGTGGCTGCACCAATTTACATTCCCACCGACAGTGCATGAGGTATTCCTTTTTCTCCACATCCTCACCAACACTTATTTCTAGTCTTTTTAATATAGCTATTCTGACAGGTATAATGTAATATCTTTTTGTGGTTTTGCTTTGCTTTTCCCTGATGATTAGTGCTGTTGAGTATCTTTCCATGTGTCTGCTGGCCATCTTTATGTTTTCTTTGGAAAAATGCCTTTTCAGGTTTTCTGCCCATTTTTAAATCGGATTGTTTTGTTTTTTGGTGTTGAGTTGTATAAGTTTTTTATATATTTTGGAGATTAACTCCATTATTGGATATCATTTGCAAATAGCTTCTCCCATTGAGTACGTTGCCTTTTCATTTTTTTTTTTTTTTTTTTGATGGTCTCCTCTACTGTTCAAAAGCTTTTTATTTCGGTATACAGTCCCAATAGTTTATTTTTGCTCTTGTTTTTCTTGCCTGAGGAGACATATCTGGAAAAATGTTGGTAAGGCTGATGCCAAAATGATTATTGCCTATGTTTTCTTTTAGGAGTTTTATGGTTTTAGGTCTCACATTTAGATCTTTAATCCATTTTGAGTTTATTTTTGTGTATGATATAAGAAACCTAAGAAGGGTTTTGAGGGACATGTACAAGAAAAACATCTAAGTTTTATTCTTAGGTGAACTGACATTTTTTGGCTATAGATAACGGTAACTGAGGTGAAAAACAGCCTATTCTTCCCCCCTTTGAGATGTATGCCCATGCAGGTGTTTCTTTGCCACCTCTGTGCTATTGACAGTGTTGTTAAACTCAGCCCCACCAGGGACAAAGAATTTTATACATGGAATGGAGATACTTTTATACTGCTAGATGAGTTTTCTGGGATTTCTAACACTCCCAGTTATATAAAAAGGTATTGGTCTACCCTGTAGAGGAATATTAATAGCAGTGGAATCAAACAACCATTGTTAGAAGTTTGTGTGTGTGTGTGTGTGTGTGTGTTTATAGAGAAAACCTTTATTTTCTTTCACTGGACTTCATTACAGAGGTTTCTTGTTTTATTGCCATTACTTTTCTAGGCTGGTATATATTTGCACTCTGGTCAAAGGTAGAAAAAGAGTTCCAAATTACATGCAAACATCCAGTGGGTAATATTAAATTATTTTCAAGATAGGGGGAAATGGTGTGTTATAGACTGTTTATATTCCCCCAAACTCATATGTTGAAACCCTACTCTTCTTCTCTCGTGTGATGGTATTAGGAGGTGGGGCCTTTGAGAATTAATCAGGATTAAATGAGGTCATGAGGGTGGAACACTCATGAATGGATTAGTGCCCTCATAAGAGTCATGACAGAGCTTGCTTCCTCTCTCCGCTCTCCACCATGTGAGAACACAGCAAGAAGTTGGCAGTCTATAATCCAGAAGAGGGCTCTCACCAGAATTCAACCATGCTGACTACCTGATCTTGAACTTCCAGCCACCAGAACTGTGAGAAATAAACTACTGTTGTTTATAAGCTACCCAGTACTTTTGTTGTAGCAGCCTGAATGGACTAAGACGTTTGCCTTCCATTGAGTTATGTCATGACTGTTGTTGTAAAACTGGACAAAAAAATGTTCTTAACAAGAAATTCAGTGCATTTGAAGGGCGGTGTTATTTATTGGTTTCTTTTCTTTTTTTTTTTTAAGATTTTATTTATTTATTTGAGAGAGAGAGAATGAGAGAGAGCACATGAGAGTGGGGAGGGTCAGAGGGAGAAGCAGACTCCCTGCCGAGCAGAGAGCCGGATGCGGGACTCGATCCAGGGACTCCAGGATCATGACCTGAGCCGAAGGCAGTCGCTTAACCAACTGAGCCACCCAGGCGCCCTATCGGTTTCTTTTCATGTTTGAAATCATCTTACATCTACTTTGGTCCACATGAGTCAATGTTCTGTGGCCTCGGTATAGGCATAGTACATGCCTGTGGTGGTACACCTGGCAGGTGGGTCTGTACATGATGCAAGGTTCTCTCTAGAAAGGTAAGAGTCACTGTGGGTGAGTTACCTCCACCCTCACACCACAGATGTGAAATGAGTTGAAGTGATTTACCAAGGTCATGAGTATACTCAGTGACAATATTGGTAGAAGCACAATGTCATAGACACCAAATTAGTGTTTTTTTTCACAGTATCTTTTGTGTGAAGCTGTAAAGAATTGCCTAGGGGATGGCAGGAGCAGATGACATCACTCTTGATGTAATTCTCTACTTATATGACACTTGACTCCACCAAGAAATAAAGAAAGAGTGGTATCTGTTTTATTATTAGAAGTTGTGTGATTTGTGATTCTTCAATAATGTAGTTTTTTCTCATAATCAGGTTCCTTTCACTATCTAAGAATTGTAGAAAGAAAGGGGAAAATGTACAATAACTTTTATAAAATAAGTGGTGATAATTTGGCAAAAATGTATTCTGTACTTCATTTAAGCATTACTCCATTAGATATCATATAAAAACAAGAGGAATAGAATAAACCATCTGGGTTGAAGACTGTAGGAGGAGACTTGGTTGGAAGCTTGTACATTAAATGAAAATATTTGTACTAGAAGAGTTTGATTTTTGTATGCATGGTGGCAGGCAATTAGTTTCTTGGCTGTGCTAACTCATGTTTTTTAATTCAAAGCTAAATATCTGGCATTTGAAAGCACTCTTAAAAATGCATTATGTAGATGAGCCTACTTAGAATACAGCAAAGTAAAGACACTGGGTAAGTTATAAAAAATTTATGCTTGTGAACCACCCTGATTTCTTTCCCTTCCCCCCAACTCCCTCCATTCCCTAATGTATTTCTTTAAAGGGCTTATTTTCAAGCAATCATTTAATGAGGGGTTACTATGTGCTAGGTATTGTACTAGGTGACTTACAGATAATTACGTTAAATTCTCAAAAAAACTCAGAGAGAGAAGGTTAGTTGGACCTGCCATGAAGCCTTTTCCTGATGTAGAACTCACTTGGAACTTACAACTCAAACCTGGTATATTTTGCTCCAAAATCCAAAAAGACCCACCAAGCATTGTGCCTCTTTCTTTGTGGTAGGTGATAGAAGGTATAACAACCTTCTCTCACTTTCTAAGAAATACCTTGACATTTCATAGATACTGGACTTTCAAATACTTCCCCAATGTGGCAGACCTCTGAAACTTCTCAAGCTTAGCTTCTGCCCTCTGACATGCATGGGTCTTATAAGGCATCTGGGTTCTTAATTCCTGATGCCCAGGTGCTTTTGTTAAAACATCATCAGTATAATGAACAGGCCGATATAATATCTACGTCACAGAAAGACTATAAAGAACTATGTGATGATAGAAGGCCTGAGCAAAATGGCAGAGATACTTTGTCTCTGTGAAGTAACTGCTTCTGATTATCTTTGTTAGATTAAAAAAAAAAAAATAGGTTAAGTCAATAGCTGTAAACTAGCAGCTAGGGACTGTAGTGATTTTTCCTAATCCTCAACTGCAGATTAAGTTTGTGGTAATGCTCAGTCTCCAAGACCTATCAAACTTGTATACCAACCAAATGAGTTATTTAAGTGGACATGTGGTTGTAATAACTTTCCCTGTTAAAAATCTTTTGTTGCGGACCTAATTTTTTCACCTGACCCGGGCATGTGGAATCACTTTTGGATTGCTGTACTTTGAGGAGGGTGGGGGGAGAAAGAGTGAGAAGAGGGCAAGTTTTACTGAAAGCAGAGAAAATAGTTACATGGGAGGGGCCACCTGACAGAAACTGAGAGCTTCGGTGAAGCTAGAGCCAATTCCGGCCTCCAGCGGGGATGGACCTGGGAGGATACACACATGCCCTGATCTCCACCCTCCTCCTCCACCCTCTTCCTCCACCCTTCCAAGGCGCTGGTGCTCCTCATTGGTCAAACCTACAAGAAGCCGGAGCGCGTGGAGGCTATCCGGGTATGCCACAGAAATCAGCTTCCTGGAGAACAAGCAGAATAAATAAGGATGGAGAGACGATGATAGGTACGGAGACTGATGAATGAAAATAGTCAAAATACAGCCCTTTTACAATTTAAGTATATTGCTGCAACTTGCAAGAGGAAAATGAACAAAAGCTCTCAAATTATCAAGTTTATAGCATCTAACAATTTTTTTTCAAATATGGATCTTGTTCTATATTTTACGGACTCTATTCTTACATGTCACTGGAAGCTCAGTTGAACTTCTGTCCCCAATTTTGAATTCCTGTAGTTGGGATTACCCTTTGAATTCTAATTCTTTCTTTGAAGTTGGTCACTTGAACCCCTTCATACAGAATGGCTACTTTTTACAAGATTGAGGTCCAAAATACCAAAAAATAAATAAAATTAAAATACTCTGATTTCCAAGATTCTATTGGGTGAGTAAACATCATTCCACTGAAACTCTTTTCCATTAAAAAACTGCTCAAATCTGCCTTTTTTTCTCAAGTACCAACCAGGGAGTATTTCTGTTCTTTCCTTTGGTGGGATGAAAATATTTGGAAGTACTCAATCTCAGCCATTTTTAAAGAATTGTATTTGCTTGTTATTATTTTCTGTGTTGTGTAATCAAATATTTATCCTCCCCATAGCAGCAACAGCTGTTTTTAAGTCCTTTTACTTGCTTCTACAAAAGAGTACTTCTGACTAATTTTTTTTTTTCATGTCCAAAGATGGTGTATTTTACATTTACATGTTGGAAGGAGCTTGTGCCAACAAAGTGACTATCATGTTGTTTCTGTTCAGTCTTGTGCTTCTGGGTGGGGTTTTGAGCCAATAGAGTTTGAAATACCAAGATCATATATCTGGAATCTAATGTATAATTATTTCTGAATCAGAAATAAGTTTTAAGTAATAAGTTAATTTGAGATTCCAAATATTTTAAGACACAATAAAACACTACCTCTTTAATATTTCCATTTCAAAGGAAGCCCCTCACCAATCAAATGTTTGCCTCACATTGAATTCTGAACAGTGCAGGGGAATTGACATTCCAAAAGAAAGATAGTCCTAAAACTGGCAAGAATCCTCATTCTTTTCTGAATGTATATAGGATAGAGTTTAGGATATAGGATATATCCTATATATAATGTATATAGGATAAGAGTTTAACAGCTAAATGAAAATTTAAAGGAAACATTTTAAAACTTAGAACATTTATTTCCTCCTTCATTGTTTTAGGGACTTTGGACTACAAGACAAGAATGAAATCTGCCATCGTAAGACATCTGGTTGAGTTTTGTTAGTTCTTTATATTTTAAGCATTCCAGCTTTCCTTATTTGATATTTAAGTGGGATCATTGTTACTGTTCATAATGCTGATCTTTCAAAAGAGAACATTGCATTGTTGATGGAGACTTAGGAATGTGGGAAATAGTTTGTCCTTCAGTTAACTTGCTCAAACATGTCTGGTCAACATTGCATACCCCAGCAGAAATGGTGTGGTTTACAAAGTGGATTTTCTAGATTTCAGTGACTCAGACTCTCTACTCGACCATACTCGAGTTCAAAGTGTCTGTCAGAACATGGGACTCTTGTCCTTGCACCCCTTAAAGAAAGGAATCTAGGCAAGGTCTGCCAGGATTGTAAATAAAACACAGGAGTTAGTTACACCAGAATAGGCTCCCACAGGAATAAAATGCTTGCTTAGCCCCTCAGGGGGAAACCGCAACTATTAAAGATGGATAAAATTTGGGTTTGTTTTTAAGTGAAGAATATTCTTGTTTGATTTTGTTACATGGGAGTTTGGTTTTACAAAATGTGAAACAAATGGAAAAATTCACTTACCTTCAGTAGCAGTTTTTGTATATCTATTCCATGTGAAAAATAAATAGGAAGATGATGAAGATAATTTCCAAATTACCACTAATTTGTGTATTTTAGTGAAGGTCAGCTGGTATGCTACTCCTTAGATAACAGAGAACTTAAAAAAACTTTTTATTATGGCAAATTTTAATTGTGTAAAAAAGTAGAGAGAATAGTATAATGAAATTTCATTACTCATTTATTAAGCTTTAACAACCTTGGGCAGTGAATTAATTTTTTCTATCATAGTTTCAGAAATTTTGAGATCTATGAGGTCTTCAAGGTATCAGCCTAATATGATGACAATATTTTACAGATGTGGATTTTGAGGGCTAAAGAAATTGAGTTGACCAAAGTTATCCAGTGGCAGAGCCAGAAGTAGACCCCTGTCTTCAAATTGACATTTTAGTAGTATAAATTAGGCAAACTTTTTTTCTTTGAGTCCTCAGTTCTTTGAGTCCTCAGTCGTCTCCTTGAGTCTGAGTCACTGAAAAAAAAAAAAAATCCACTTTGAAGCTGAAAAGTGGGAATAATAATCATAACTCACTTCGATGCTTTGAGTGAAAGCCATGTAAAGAGCCTACGTCCACCCCTGGAAAGTAGTAGTTCACCCACAGATACTGGCTCCTCTCTCTTCTTCCTCAGACTCTAGTATCTTTGGTCACACATAGTAAGAAGAACCAAAGAGTTTTGGACTTTGATTATTGCCTCTTGTTTATGCATGAATTCTTTATGTAGATGTCAGGTGGTGGTACAACTTCTTAAAAATTTAAAAGCATGTGGAAGCTAACACCTGTGCATGTATGGAATCTTCACTGGGATTTTTATTCCAGGTCAGGGACTAAGGTTCCAGTAAATGGGGCTTGCCTAAAACACTGAGATACATGTGCTGATCCACTTTTATTCAAGTGTACTAGAACCATTTATCCACCAACTTCCTTTGAAGATAAAGTGAGATGATAAGTTAAAGTTTTGTTTCTGTTATGGAAATCCTCCTGCTTTTTAAAATATTACTTTTCTGTGTTTTATTTTGTTTTTTAATTTTTATTTTTATGAAAGTGCTTGTTAGGCGATAATCTCTTTGGCCTGATTTGTGTCTTCAAACTGTCTGATATAAAAATGGGATCACTTTTGGCCATTTTCTAATTCCACAAATAAAAAACATAACCTATTTTAAAATAATGTCACCCAATAAATCAAAATAACTTAAAATCTGGCCAAATATTTTGCTAAGTTCTTCCTGCTTTAACACATGTCTGTTTTATCAAATCTCAAATTCTGTAATAGTCCCTGGACATACAAAAAGAATGCTGAATTTAGGCTGCTATTTAGTCAATTGGTAGAAAAGATCTTACTGTTAATGCAGTTCATTGTTTTAGAAATCCAAACCAGCATGTAAGCAATATCTCATTCAAAGCTGAGTCTTTTGCAGCATAGGAATACTTTGAATCGGACAACAGGATCTTTATGAGACTCAAACTCTCTAAAGTGAGACTTGAACACTTGCTAAAGGAAAGAAATTTATCTTTCTTTTTTTCTTTCCATAGTTACAGTTCAAAATATATGTGATGCAATTAACAATCATTAACATATTTTTCTGGCATAGTTATTCTGATTTGCTTCCTCTAATTGGAGAGTAACCTTAGGGAATAGCTCACGAAGTGCTATATTTGATTGGAGAAGGGCAACACATGGGTCAAAGGACATGGATTCCATCAGTGCAGTTTAGCTGTACATTGCTCAGTCACATCTGATGGGGGAGCCACAGAAAAACACAAGTGGGTTAGGGATAGGAAAGTGAGGGTCAAGGGTAGGAAAAGCATGCATGGTACATAGATAGACTCCACTTAATTCATGTTTGTGCCTTTGGATGATCTTGTTAGGATAGTAACATTTCCATGATTTCCTCTGTTCCTCAATTTGCTATTCAACCACCATCATAATCAAGACATTTATTCTTTTTTTTATGTTATGTTATTCACCATACATTACATCATTAGTTTTTGATGTAGTGTTCCATGACTCATTGTTTGTGTATAACACCCAGTGCTCCATGCAGAACTTGCCCCCTTTAATACCCATCACCAGGCCAACCGATGCCCCTCCCCCCTCCCCTCTAGAACCCTCAGTTTGTTTCTCAGAGTCCATAGTCTCTCATGGTTCTCAAGACATTTATTCTAATGCCTAGCATGAACTTATTCTCCTGTAAGTTTATATACTTTGCTATTTGTCCTAATCTTGGGGACTAGTGAGCTACACGTCACACTTAAAAACTTGCTTTGTATTCTTTAGATCCAATACACTCACTTTTCTTACTCAACCTCATACCAGGACCGAAATAAAATGAAAAAAAAGATTTCTTTTGGCTACTGAACCATTTCCTAATAAGTATTGATGTTGAGGACAGGAGGCAAATTACATCACCATTTCTGTTTATTTTACTGTACTGTTTCCAATTCAGTATGCTTATTCATTCAGGTATAGTATGCCAAAAAGGAAGGGTGGTTCCATCTGTGAAAAACTGATAATCCAATAATTTCTTAGACTAAAGACTAATGAGTGAATGAAGATAATTCTGAATATTTATAAACACTGTATATTCTAGATTTTGACAGGTGGTTTGACTTAACTCTTTCCAAGTGGCCAAGTAACCGCTTGATGTATTAGAGCACTAAAAAGAGGGAGACTAAGAGTCCCATTTCAAAGAAAGCCACAATACAGGCCACTTCCATATGTCTTCCCCTACTTTTTTTTTTCCAGTCCACAAATATTTATCAGTCATTTCTACCTTCACCAATTTAACACAAATGAGTATGATGCCATTGAATGAACATTTGTACACTGAAATATTATAATGTTAGACTGCATATCATTTTAAAATATCTTAAATACTTAAAAAACTCAACTCTTCAAATATGTGGAACAAAACTATTGTAGTTTTACATTGATGTATTTCTAAATGTGTCATCTTTTTATCTTATTTTTTTTAAGATTTTATTTATTTACTTAGAGAGTGAGAGAGAGAGAGAGCACCAGCAGATGAAGGCAGAGGGAGAGGGAGAGCGAGAATCCCATGCAGGCTCCATGCTCAGTGCAGAGCTGGATGTGGGGCTTGATCTCAAGACCCTGAGATCATGACCTGACCCAAAATCAAAACTTGGACGCTCAACAGACTGAGCCACCTAGGTGTCCCTAAATGTGTCATCTTTTTAGAGAGCAACTAATAGACTTGGAAAATATATCATTACTTTCTAACCTGCTTCCTCTATGTATATATGTATAAACAAATATGTCTATATATTAAATATATTGTAAATATCCTAAATATACTGTCAAGAAAATTTGAAGGTTATTTTATGCTCTCAAGACAATATATTGAATGTTTGAAATGGATTTTAACATATATGTGAATTTAGTGAAATTAGAGCTGAAAAGGACTTCATAGTGTAGTAGAGTCAGTTCTGATCCTTCTTTGTCTAATAAGTAAAGCATACTGTTTCTATGGAAACTGCATTTGTAGAAAATAACTATTGCTTTAAGCATTAAAGTATCCATTGTATCATAAAGTCAGCAGAATGATTTACTCTATAGTGATAGAAACACTTTAACATTTAAAATCTATTGTGCACAGCATATATTTTATGGTTTAAAACTAAGTTTCAAAAGGATTCTCTTGTTATTAAAATGAATGGTAAACTCAATGCCCCTCCAAAAATCTATTAGGTATTACATTTAAGAAAAATATTTGAGGGGCGCCTGGGTGGCTCAGTCGGTTAAGCAGCTGTCTTCGGCTCAGGTCATGAACCCAGGGTCCTGGGATCGAGCCCCGCATCGGGCTCCCTGCTCCGCCGAGAGCCTGCTTCTCCCTCTCCCTCTGCCTGCCACTCTGCCTACTTGTGCCCTCTCTCTATCTCTCTGTCAAATAAATAAATAAAATCTTAAAAAAAAAAGAAAAATATTTGAACATATGTATAATATTGGTAGTACATTGTGAGACAAAGTACCTTTGACCAAAATTGGCTGAGTGTGAACACCATAAAAGAAACAAAACAACATTACCCCAAAAACAGACAATTTTTTGTTGAGATAATTTTTACAGGCAATTAAATTTTAATTAATTCTGTTAAAATAATTATTAATTAATAATTATTAATAATTCTGTAAAATTAATTTTAATTTATTCTGTTAAATTTTTAACAGAGTAAAATTGACATAGATGTTTTTATATAATTAAATTGTGTAGCATTTGGTCTTTCGTTTAGTCACATATTACCTATGCTTTGTTAAATTAATATGATCAACTGCATTCATGATATACCACAGAAGTGCTCACTCAATTTCTGTATCTTTTATGACACTTCATAGAATATAAAGTAACTGTCTTCTTCAGAGTCAATGCAACTGCATCTTTGCAGCCCTGCCCAAG